CGGGCCTGCGCCTGCCAGCCCGGGCCAGGCCCTTGCGGGCCTCCGCACACACCTCGCCGGCCCGCCGCTGCAGGTGGCGATTTGCATGGGCGCTGTAACTCTCCCATGAGGCTTTTCGTATCCGGGTTTCTTTTCTGCTCTTGGGAGCCGAACAGCCACTTTCAAAAGAAAAAAACAAGACCCCAGTAAGTCTCTGCTTGGACGCGGGCCTTAAGGTGTTTCAAAGCCTCCCACGGCTATTTCTGGCCCCATTGTCGTCGGGGTCTGAGAGGAAGGCCTGACGGCGGTTCTTTTCTTTAAAGGCAGAAACAGAACATTGTTTCTCCCGGCTTTGATTTAATGGCCAAAAACAGTTATAGGAAACTGTTCAGCAGATGTTTTATGAAACGCAGAAAAAAACTGGGTCTTTGAGGGGCTATTTTTAGACTAATGCTTCCTACCATTGGGGTTTGGGTCTCACAAAAGGAACAAAAACGGGAGACAGAGGGGAGGGGAGAGAGAGGTGGAGGAAGCTTGGAACATTTAGATGATCACATTTTATTTCTTCTTCTGTTTTCACCATGAATTACATGTACCTGGGAGCCGATGGAGGATGCAATGTGGAGGTGGCTCCAGGAAGGAGGGGTGCGTTTTAGAGCTTCCTTTCTAAAATGAAGGTTTACTGGGTACAAGGCACATCTCTTCTTTTCACGATCCCCCACCTCCTACTTGACAGCAACACGGAAATGCCTTTTTCTTTGCCCGCTTCGCTTTCTTGCCTCCCTTTGCCTGACTTAACCTTTTCTCCTCTCATCCCACCCCTGCTTTCCTTTCCCTTCTGCCTCTTTTCTCTATTTTGCGCTAAGCCATCATTCACACTCAGGCAGGTGCTTCCTCCCCCAGGAAGCCTTCCCTGAACTCTCCGGGGTGGGTTGCTCTGCCTCCTCTGTGATGCGCTGGCTGGATTTCAGGCACTGAGTTTACTTCCTTGCTTTACAATCTATTTCCGTATCCGGCTCCTTTCTTAGGCTGCAAGCTCGACGAGGCTGGGGACTCTGTCTTAATTATCTTTTTGTCCTCGGCATCCAGCGCTGTTTCATTCAATAAGAGGCGTGGAATAAACGTTTCTCGAGTGAAAGGACTGATGGTGGATACACGGCGTGAACAGGTTAGGGAATTGTATCCAGTTGACAAGGTTTGACTTCACCTTCAGGAACAGAAATGAATCATTTTGGGTCTCTGCTGTTCACACTAAAATCTGTTACTACTATAGTGTAATCGATTAATTGTTATACCTTGAGGGGGTTATTATGATTTCCAGGAAACTGAGGCTTTGGGACAAAGAGTAGAAGAGATGATGCGGAGCACTGTGCTTCAGACATTTAATTCCAAATTTTTGTCTTTTCCAACTCTACAGGGGAGGGTGTAAAAGCCTCGGATGCCTGGGCCCAGGGGAGGCCCCCTGTGAGGGACAGAGCACAGAAGAGGGAGATGGGGAAACTAAAAGCAAACTTCTCTTTTCTAATTTTTCTGGGGCCACTTCCAGCTGGAACAAGAGGACAAGTGTGGCCTCCCCAGATGAAGAGGACCAAATGACCTGCCATGTTCTCACTTGTCCTGAGGCCTCTGGCCAGAGTCTCAAAGTCAGGTGAGCAGAACAAAGGCCAGTGGCCTCTCACTTTCTGGAAAGTCCTAGAACTCAGCCCAGGGGGGCGGGAAATGAGGTTCTCCCTTCATCTGACCCCACGTCCATCACGGTTTCTCTGGTGTCTCAAGACTTTATCGAGCACTTTCCAGAGAGCACTTTTCACTGGCAGAGAATCTGGTAAGTTCTGCTGTATCTGGAAAAAGCATCACCATTGTTGGTATGAGGGCCAGCGGCCACGTCACTGGGCTCTGGGCAGGAGTGTTCGAGTTTCCTGGAAGCTGGACCCGGGCAGAGCTCCCGATCGTGTTCCAGGACCCTTGGTGAATGTTTCCATACCCGTTCATTTCCTTAGAGCTATCTTTCTTTTCCCCTGAACATTTACCGTGTTGTAGTTACTGTGCTAAGTGCACCAGAAAGTGATCTCACTGATCTTTTTTAAAGACTTTTAAAAAGCACATAATATAAAAATTTTTTCCTTATTACTGAAGAACATTATCTTCCATGTCTTCCGTACCCCTCAGAACTGAATTCTAGTCTGACCCCCGTTTTCCAAATGTGGAGACCTGAGTGGGGAGAGAGGTGGACGAAAACTCTCCCAGAGTCGTGCAGTGGGTGAATGAAATGCAGGAATTCAAGGTCAGTTTGGCTGCCACCAGAGGCCACGCTCCGAAAGGCTTCCCCGTGGATCTCAGATCTGGCTTCCCACTGAGGTCCCTGGGCAGCCATCTCTCCGTGGAACCTGCCCGTTCCAACCTCTGTGCACTGTCTCCGACCATCTCGCGATTTCTAACTCTCCCCAAAGTTCTCTGCCATTTTCTAGGACACCTTCTGACATTTCTTATTCTGATTTTTAAATTCTGCTGGGAAGGACAGAGACCTTCCCTCCTAAGGTAAAGTGGCCTCAAGTGGAAGACACGCAGAAAGACATGAGACGTCAGTGGCTCTGAGTGGCGCTTTTCTAGAAAGGAGAAAACAGCTTATTAGAGCGAGCTGGCCAAGTCTTTTCCAGTAGAGGCAACTTTTTCCCAGGGCACGGCCAACCTTCTCTGTTCACCTCCTCCGTATCTGTTGCGATTGAACCATTGGTGCAGAACTCAGGGACTACTTGTCGAGCACGTCTGTACCGGTCCGGCCATGCTAGGTTACACGGTGGTGACAGGCGCCGAACCTCAGCGCTTCAAGCCCTCCTCCTCGCAGGTCAGTAAGTGCTTTGTTCAATGGCATCCAAGTCACTCTGGGCCCCAGGCTGCGTGGCAGCTGTCACTTGACATGTGCCCGAGAGAAAAACAGAATGGTTGAAACTCTTCCCAGGTTCTCCAAGTTTCTGTCAGAAGGGCTTCGAATTTCATTCATGAAAGCAAGTCCAAAAGGCCACTCCCAATGTCAAGGGTGCAGGGAAGTGAGTCTACCGTGCGCCCAGATTGGGGAAGGACTGTGATCTGTATTTGGTGAATGAATTAAACATGCTTAACTTTAGGTTAGGGACTGCGGAACAAAGCTCTGATTCTGCCCTCAGAGCTTTGCATGTAGTTGGGGAACCTGGACCACAGATCAGATCGTCAAAGACCGTGATGCCTTGGTATAAAACAGTGTATCCTGCCAAACCACAGGGACGGAGCAGGAGGATTCAGACAGTGTTTCAGGACCCAAGGAAGCAAAGGAGAAGGCTCCGAACTGCGAAAAATGCCCTGGATGATGGGACGTTCAAACAGAAAGAGCAGCCATACACACTTTGGAGGTGAGGGGCTTCTCGGAGAAGATCAGATTTGGTACCCAGCTCTTCCCTCATCTCACCCTGTGCTGGCCTCCAGTACAAACTTAGGCCCTCTTCCTCCTCGAGTCCCTGATAAATGACAAGCTTTAAGAACAGATCTGACTTTATCTTTTATGTTCATAGAAAATACCAGGCACACTGTTGTGGTCTGGATGAGCTGATCCTGCTAAGCCCACTTGGTAGCAGGTTTCTCACAAGAGTGTGAGGCCCACGCGTGGAGAGTCACCATCACTTGCGTCATCAGCTGGGCTCCAAGGACTCTTTCTTCAGCTAAGGGCCTCCGCAGTTCTGACCTCCCCTCAGCAGGCTGGCCGGCTCTCACTCAGCCCCTCCGCACACCTTCTGTTCTTTGGGCATCTTCTTGCTTACA